TTATACCACAAACTAATGGCTGACTCTGAAATTGTTGGTGTTAGACGTTTCATGAAAAAGAACTTGTGATGGTCTAGAACCCCTTACTACTATAAGCGTTACCTTTGTAGGAACCTGTTCTTCCTCAGTATGTTTATTTAGACAACTGGCGTTACAAAGTTTTCACTTATATTCCTCCTCTCATGCAATGTTTTAAATGCATGAAATTTAGACACAGTGCCAAAGTATGTAGAAACAATCAGGTTTGTTCAAAGTGTTCAGGTGGTCATTCCTATAAGGAATGCTCAGCTGAATTTTTAAAGTGTGTTAACTGTGGAGGAGACCACTTGGCAGTATCCAGGTTTTGTCCTCAAAAAGCAGCTCAGATTAAAAAACATGAAAATAATTATTCATCTAAAATGTATTCAACTGTATTATTGTCAAGTGATTTTCCTCCGTTACCTAGTGATAAATCAGTTGTAAAGTTGGCTCACAATAAATTAGCTTCACCTACTGTCCAACCTAAAAAAAAAAGTTATCACAAAATTCATCAGATAGTTCAATTCCAGTCCAGTCTGCTCCTCCTAATAGTGGTTCCTATGATCAGCCTCATTAAAGATGATCAGTTCTTGAAGTAAAATTATCAAAACTTTAGTTATGTTAGGCAATTCTAATACAGCAAACACAACTGCACACATTAAGGATATATTAATACAAAAACTTAACAAAATAATGGATTATTTACGATTAATGCAACATAACAACAGAGTATCAATAATAAAAAACCACTTCTTAAATCTTTATTATATGATAAATAAAATAGATGTGTGCTTGCTAAATGAAACTTGGTTAAAAGATTCTGGTCTGCCTTTTTATATACCTGGTTATATATTTGTTGGAAAAAATGCTAAAAATGAGCATGGAGTGTAGGTATTTTTAATAAAAAATGATATTAAATTTAAGGTCTTAAAAACTACTTTCTATCAAAATATTCAATTTATAGCTATTTCTATAATAACAGGATGTGGTCCTGTCTCAGTGCTCTGTGTCTACTGTCCACCAAATAATAGCTCAATTAGTTTGATTAATTTGAGAAAGATTATATTGCAATTACCCAAGCCTTGTCTTGTATCTGGTGATTTTAATGCTCACAATATAGCTTTTGGTTGTGATACTACCAATTCAAGAGGTCGTGAATTATTTGATATATTTGATGATGCTGATTTATGTATTTTTAAATTCTGGTGACCCTACTACTATTTCTAGACCTGGTAATAATGCATCAGCCATTGATGTTACTTGTGTTAGCCCTGATATTGCACCACTTTGTGAGTGGTATGTCGGTGATGACTCTTTAGGGACTATCATTTACCTACTTTTGTTAACATCATTACCTCAACTCAAAAAATATACAGTACAAGAGTCTATACATAAGATTTATATAATAAAACAAACTGGAATATGTACAATGATAAATCCAAAGATATATTTGATAAATTTTCTCCTTCAACAATTGATCCTTTAGTTCAATATGATGAATTTTCTAAATTACTACTTAGTTTAAAAAGAAAACTGTGTTCCTTGTTAAAGCATAAATCTTCTAGTAAAAAGTCTGCTCCTCAGCTCCTTGGTGGAATGATACTTGTGCCGAGGCTGTAACCAAATCAAGAGAAGCGTTACTAATTATAGACGTAATATGACAATGACAATTATATAGAATATAAGAAAATAGATTCGAGGAAAAAAATTATTATAAAAATGGCTAAGAAAGACAGTTGGAAAAGTCTTTGTTTGTCTTTTTAATAGATTCACTCCAGTATCCCGAAGTGTGGAATTTTATTAGAAGATTTAAAGAGAATTAACATTAATAGAAATGTGTCCAAAAATGATGAGTGGATAGCAAGTTTTTTAGAGAAGTTAGGGCAATCTAGTAATAACAACGATAATATTTCTGGTTTATTCGAATTTAATGATGGAAGTCAGTGGAGCAAGTTTCTACTTAACTCTTTTTTGTTTTGAAGAACTTGACATGGCTTTTGTCTTCAAGAAAGAATACAACTCCTGGTCTTGACGATATTCCTTATATTATGCTTCAAAATCTACATGTTTCTGTAAAACATATTCTACTTAATATTTTAAATTCGCTTTGGTCTCAGCAATTGATTCCAGAATCCTGGAGGTTGCAATGTGTCATACCAGTGTTAAAACCTGACAAAACCCAATGATCATTTTAATTCGTACAGACCCATTTCTCTTACATCTTGTGTAGGGAAAATTGTTTGAGCAAATGATTAAAGATTAGACTGACTATTTTGTTGAAAACCAGAAACTTATTCCTTCTTGTCAGTTTGGATTCAGAAAAGGCAAAAGTGCAGCAGAAAGTTTTATAGCTTACCTGACTGATATGAAGAAGTGTTTGTTATCAGGTTCTACTGCAATTTGTGTTTTCCTTGATGTTCAGGGGGCATATGATAATGTAGATCTTCACCAATTAATTAAGGTCTATATTCTTTGGGCTTCCCAGGAAAGCTTTTAAAATGGATTTTCCATATGTATTATGGTCGTTCTTTATACATTAAATACAATAATGTTTTTCATGGTCCAAAATTAGCATTCAAGGGGTTGATGCAAGGGTCTTCTTTTATCTCCAATCCTGTATAACCTTTTATACTTCACAAATATATACATATGTGACTGAATCTGTAAAAATATTACAATTTGCTGATGACATCTTAATATATAGTGTAGGCAGTAATTTACAGGTTACTCAAGCAAAAGTTAATTCAGCTTTATGTCAACTTAACTACTATTATACTGAGATACTTAAATTAAATATAAATAGTAGTAAAAGTTCAGTTTTAGCTTATGGTATTGATACTAATGTAAAATGTTAAGTATAACAATAATTTAATCCCTCAAAATAGCGAAAAAAGTTTCTTGGTGTAATTTTTGACACTAAATTAAAGTTTACCAAACACATTGACTATATTTGTAGTAGAGCTTTGAAAGGTATCAATATTTTGCGGTCCTTAGCAGGAACTTTTGGGGTTCTGATCCAAAAAATTTTTTTGTTTATTATATAAAAGCTTAGTACGTAGTCATTTTGATTATAGTTGTCTGGCATATATGAATATTAGTCCTGTATTATTAAAAAAGCTTGATGTTATCCAAAATATTGCTCTTAGAATTGTTACTGGTGCAATGCGTACCACTCCTATCAATTCTATGGAGGTTGAGTCATGTGTAGAACCACTATGTATTCGGCGAGTATTAATTGCTGAAAAATTTTGCCTGAAAGTGATAACTTCTCAGAATGATGTTCTTCTTCCAAAACTTTCTTATTCTATAACTATCACTAATACACCAGATTTGCCTTCAAGTATAACAGCGACTAATGTTCTCAATAACCAGATCCCTGAATTATTGGGAATTATGAGCTTTATGACTGATTTATCTGATAATATGTACAAATCTGAACTATGGCCTGTATATCTCTGTAAATATAAAGCTCTTATGTGTAAATTAAATATAGATATGTCCAGTGTAGTAGATAATATAGACTTTCTGGATTATTGCTGTACCAAGCCTAACAGTTACAAAGTCTACACTGATGGGTCTAAATCTTCATCTGCAGTGAAATCGGGTTACTATGATCCTCAGGCTAAAACCTCAAAATGTTTTATGTTAAGTAATACTTGCAGCATATTTACAGCTGAAGCTTATGCTATCTATCAAGTTGTATTGTACTTACAAAGTTTACAAAATAACGATAACTACATGGAGTTCCTAATAATTTCAGATTCAAAAAGTGTGTTAATGGCTTTAGACAAATGTCATACTTATTATAGAAATAATTATTTATTGTATAAAATTAGAGAAGCATTGATATCTTTGGATACTCCAGTAACATTTAAATGGGTGCCCTCTCATAGGGGTATCAAGGGAAATGATATTGTAGATGGTATCGTCAATTCTAATTATGATGAGGATCATAGTATTACATGCAGAGTTCCTTTTACGGATTTTCTTTTCGACTTAAAACAAAGAAGTCGCAAGTTATGGGAAAGCTATTGGAAATTATCCTCACAGCATAAAAGGTAGTTGGTATCAGAGATCCAAAAGGAACTCCCATGTAAACCTTGGTATGATAAATACAAAGGAGCCAATGAACGTAAATTTATAACCATTATTAATCGTTTGAGGTTTGGCCACTGTCAGACTCCAAGCCATTTATTTCGTTTTAAAATTATAAATAATAACAGATGTACATACTGTGGAGGAAATGAGGCCGACTTATCCCACCTCATCTTGAGTTGCCCGACCTTTAAATTTCAACGATTAATACTAGTAACGGATATTATGAAGTTGATGGATTTTGATGAGAATAATCGGACTAAACTTGGAAATTCTTTAGCAAATAACCCGACAAGATCAGTTTTAGACTCATCAGTCACTGCAAATGGTAGTCATCAATGTCAACCATCACAAATAGAAATTCCCCGCCGTGTCCAAGATTTACTGAAATGTCCAGTTCTATTCAAAGCTATTTACTATTATATAAAAAACACAGTTGAGAAAATTTAAAGCTCACCATTGTTTTATATTGATTGTATTTTATGTTAAGTTAGTATAGTTATTTGTGTAAGATATTTTGTTATACCCTTTTTTAAAGTGCCAATGGACTTTGTATCCGGCTAATAAATAAATTAAAAAAAAAAAAAAAAAAGTGACATTAGCTACTGTCAGTTGGCTTCGTCTAAAATACGACTGTAGTATATTAATTTAATTATTAATTAATAACCATTAACCACTATAAGTCTATAATAAACATTCCCATTAGAGATAAATTAATATCATCTATAAACAAATTTTTTTTGGTACGTTGCATGATACTAAAATTAAAGACAGAAAACAAATTATAATAACGAAAGACTTTTCATCTACAACGAAGATTGCGAAGTTAAAATTTTATAAATTTTTACTTAACTCAATATTTTATTACAGTTTTAATGAAAGGAAAAATGCTGGTGAATACTATGACAATTCGAAAAACAAATATTAAATTGCTCTTGATGCGTTTTCGACACAAAATTAACAATCAGAGTGAGGAACCGGATGAAAATACAAAAGTTGCGCAGGGGCTTATGAATTATTTAAATAGTAACAAGGAATATAATGATGTTGTACCACACTTACCAAGAATGCTTTTAAAAAAGTATAAAACGCCTGAAACTATGTATTTAATAAACCGGAAAACTGCAAAAGATATCTCAACCATTATTACAAGGAATTTTGAAAAGGAAGCACCAATAGTTGAAGTAAATCCTGGACTAGGATTTCTTACTGAAGAAATTCTCAGGAATCAAAATAACCCTGTATATCTGTATGAGAGTACTAAATTTTTTCAAAAGTCATTACAAGTATGTCTCCTTGCCATCCGTTAACCTACACCTACAAAAGGTTTATAATACAGTAATTCTAGTAAGTCTATATTTACACTTACAGGAATTACATGAGAAATATCCTAACAGAATCATATACAAAATAGCGGATTTTTTTGGAATGTGGAAGCTTGCATTTCAGGATAAAATTGACCAAGGAAATCGAATAAAAGACCTATTAGGAGACCTAGCTACAGACAAAATAGGTGCTGTTTTTAATCAATACATTCCAAAAAACTACTGTCATTATTGTAGTTTTGAAATGGTTTATTTTATTTTAAGGTAGAAAGTTGCAAATAGTTGGAGCTACACCTGGATTATCATTTGTGAAACATCTTATTAATACAATTGTTTTTCACAATATAACAAATCAACTTGGTAGACCAGACTTATTTATTATATTACCAACACATCATTATGAGGTAATAATATTTGATTTTTTAAATTAGAAATATAGAGATTAAGATATTTTTTTCTTGGTTTACATCAGTTGTCTCGTGTACCCAAACATCTAAAGTAAATTATGTTTGTTTATAAATTAAGTTTATGCATAGATACTAATTTTGATAGTATTATAGTTTCTTACAGATTTGAATGTCCAGCATGGCAAACATAAGTCAGTGCCATCATTATTTCAATCTCTTTTCCAATACAAGGTCCTACAGAAAGTACCAAAAGCACATTTTTTGCCTTGGACTTTTCCACCATCTAAAAAAACCTCAGTGGTACGTATTTAAAACTTCTTTTAACTTTCTTCTTAAATTTGGTAAATATTGCTGTACTATAATTGATTGTATTAGCAACCTTACATTATATTGTTTGTTATTATTTTGTTTCAGATAGATGAGCATTTTTTGTATTTAGTCAATATAACGCAGAAGGAAACTCTGCCATGCCATCCAGCCTACTTACCGTTACTGTGGTATTTCTTCAAACCCCAAACTTTTTCTAAATCAACAAGAGTCATTCCTATGCTAGAGTAAGTGTATTTAAAATCCATACTCTGGGCAAATCATGGATAATATTTTAGGCGATGATAATGAATCAGAGAATGAATTTAATACTAAATTAAAAATACTAAAATAACTAAACATTTTTCTTTAGTTACTATAACCAGTACATTTATGTGGCACTAATTAAACTAAATGATCAACGACAACGGTGGTTAACGTTTATTTAAATGATTAGACAATGGATTCCGGGATGCGGTGTGTGGCTGATCACAGGACAGGACCCGCCTGATGTCAACAAAGAAGTGGCGCCAGATGAGACAGATGCTCCCCTCCCACATATGACTATCTTCACTGAATTTGGGGACCTGACCTTACAACAAAAAATAACTGTATTTAAGCGGTATGTCTATAATCGTACGCATTTAATATTATTTTGTACACGATATAAAAAAATATAAGCGCAAGGAAAAATTTTTGCTACGTCTATTCGCCTTAACTACTGAACCAATTTTAATGAATTTGTACTCAGATTACCTTTGAAATAGTATTACATTGGACTTTTAATGTCATTTAAAGATACAATGGCAGCAGCTAGTTATATCTAAGGGAAAATTTTCTATAGTGAAAACATTTTTTAAAGTTTTTTTCCCAATGTAAAAAGAAAAGACGTATCCTAAGGCGCGTTTTTAGTCAAGATATTGACATCTTCATTCTACAGCGTCAACTGCGCCCGAATTAATTAAGAAATATTTAATTCGGTTCTTTTGTTAAAGGTTTGTATCGTGGCCGGAGTTTGAACATTGTCCATTTCGAACAACTGTTGAGAACAGTCTACCGAAGTTTGCATCTCATTTAGTTAGTGAAGGTGACCCTGACCCACACCTCGACGACTTGGAACACTCCGATTCAGAAAGTGAATTAGAAAATATGTAAATGATGCACCGGAAGTATTAAATGACGGATTGTGTTTGGTATGTTGCTATAAGAATAAAATAAAATTTATCATTTGATACCTAATGTATAAATATAAGTGGTGCTGTATAACAACGCAAGTTGGACCGACTCTATCTACAGGATTGTTGTGAGGGTCGCGGGATCTCCGCAGGGCTGCGGAAATAAATAATTTTCTTGTACCTTCGTTTTTTTACTAATTCTAACTCACGTAGCTTTTAAGGTATTATTGTTATTACAGTAATAGACTGTGTCGTCTAACAAATAAAAAATATTATTAGATTCATTCACGATGAATAAATTAAAGGTTCCTTAATTACTAGTAAAACGCGTTATGTTTACGTATAAAGTTTCGCAATAATTAAAAATGATTGTCTAAAACTTCATTGAGAAGATTTAAATTTGCATACTCTACGCAATGATAAAAAATAAAATAAAAAAAAAAAAAAATAATTTTTTTTTTGTAGAAAAAAAAAAAAATTTTTTTCTTCCCCCCCCCCTTTTTTTTTTTGGGCCCCCCCCCCCCCCCCCAAAGGAAAGGGGGGGGGGGGGGGGGGGGGGGGGGGAAAAAAAAGCCCCCCCCTCCTTCCCCCCCAAAAACCCCAAAACCCCCCTTTTAAAAAAATTTTCCCAAATTTTTGGGGGGGGGGGGGGGGGTGCCCCCCCCCCCCCCCCCCCCCCCCCCTTTTTTTTTTTTTTTTTTTTTTTTTTTTTTTTTTTTTTTTTTTTTTTTTTTTTTTTTTTTTTTTTTTTTTTTTTTTTTGGGGGGGGGGGGGGGGGTTTTTTTTTTTTTTTTTTTCCCTCCCCCCCCCCCCCCCCCCCCCTTTTTTTTTTTTTTTGGGGGGGGGGGGGGGGGGGGGGGGGCCGGGGTTTTTTTTTTTTTTTTTTTTTTTTTTTTTTTTTTTTTTTTTTTTTTTTTTTTTTTTTTTTTTTTTTTTTTTTTTTTTTTTTTTTTTTTTGTGGGGGTTTTTTTTTTTTTTTTTTTTTTTTTTTTTTTTTTTTTTCCCCCCCCCCCCTTTTTTTCCTCCCCCCCCCCCCCCCCCCCCCCCCCCCCCCCCCCCCCTCCCCCCCCCCCCCCCCCCCCCCCCCCCCCCCCCCCCCCCCCCCCCTCACATCTAAAATATTTTTATTTTTTCACCCCCCCCCCCCTCCCCCCCCTCTCTCCCCCCGTTTTTTTTTTTTTTTTTTCCCCCCCCCCCCCCCCCCCCCCCCCCCCCCCCCCCCCCTTTTTTTTTTTTTTTTTTTTTTTTTTTTCTTTTTTTTTTTTTTTTTTTTTTTTTCTCCCCCCCCTTTTTTTTTTCCCCTTTTTTTTTTTTTTTTTTTTTTTTTTTTTTTTTTTTTTTTTTTTTTTTTTTTTTTTTTTTTTTTTTTTTTTTTGATAAATCAAAACCATAATGTTTTATCGGTTTTTGAGCCCCTGTCACCTGTCAGTTCTCATACATTATCTTCACAATATCGTTGCTACACCAGAAACAAGTATTTCTTATATCTATAGCCTATAGCTTTACAGATCTGTTTACCAGGTACTAGTAAAGATGGAAGTAAAAGATGATCTAAAGACAAAATCTCTTTATTTTACTTACGATCAACAAATTCTACACTTTTTAGCCATCAATAATACGAAAAGAAGTATATTAGTATAGGCTCACTAAGCAGGAAAATAACATTTAACAAAATGGTAACAAATTTAGATAACTATTTTAAATCCTTTTAAAAATGCACTTTTTAACTATAGTCTATAATGACATTATTCATAAATAATATTGTTCCTTTCAGTAGATATAAATATATTATTAATTACGAAAATTAAAATAACAGGACAGGACAATACATGCAATCTCTAGAAAATACTTTTTTATTCTAAGTTTTATAGCTATATATACACATTTTCAATATTTACATTATGTACCAATTTACAAATATTGCTTTTCGAAATTTAAAATAATAATTTTATATTACAATTTTTAAAATAAATAAATACAATAAAGAATACTTAAATTTGTTACTACCGAAACTGTCTTATTGAAAAATATTTTATAAGATACTTAAAAAAATCTAAAACATAAATAAATTTTACCAATTTGTACAGAATCATTTAAGAATTTGGAATATATTTACAAATATTGTAAATGAATAAGTAGTGTTAAGTACATATCACGGATCTCCAACTATATGCTCAGTTCAAATTAATCGTAATACTCGTCAAGAGATCAAAAAGTATAAGTCATATTATATTTCAAAGAACACACAAAACGCTATGTGAACAACAAGCTTCTTTACTTGAAAGTAAAACTATAAAACAATTTAATACCTTCACCATAATATAATATTTACATAAATTTTAGTTATGTTACAGAACTCATTCATTAACATATAAAAATATGATACAAAGTCGTTATAAATTTTGAAAATGTTTATCAACACACATGCCGCGGCTGTTCGACTTCGGAGTTATGTAATTGAGAACCGGAATATCCAGTGCTATTTGATTATTTTTAGAAACACTTTGATTCGACATTTTTTGCATTGTCGAATTGGTTGCAACATTGAAGCTTATGGTTTTAAGGCTGTTCTGTGATATGCTCGGACTCGACACAAAGTCTGTCCATTCATCGTCGTCTGCGACTAACTGTGGCTTCTTTGGAGCCGCATGTTTGGGTTTGTTCGAAACGAAGTCACCCCAAACATCGTCATCGAGCGTTTCGTTCACGGTGACAGAAGCTATTTTGTGCACCGGCGATGCGCCTTTGCTGGCTCCGCTCGAGCTGGAGTCACTTTTGAATGCTTCGAAGCTTTCGAGAGGATTGAAACTTGAAAGATTTTGTAAATCTATACCAGGTTTGGGCCAATTTATCTGTGAATAACTTTCGAGAGAAAGCGGTTGTAAAATTTGTCCTGCTTTTTGGGGGCGAACAACACTCGGGCCGGGATTTATAGGTTTTAAAATTGACGTATTCACTGGACTAGATTTTGAGGACAAGTTCACAGAAATATTATGATTCTGGATAGTGTTCGGTGTGAAGACTTCGTTTGGCCTAATGTTCATTGTATCCGATGGAAGTCTATGTATGACCTCATTGCTAAATTTACTAGTTTCTGGTAACAAGGTTTCTGCACATATCTGATTAAATGCAGGTGTAGGAGCAGATTGGAATGATTCAAATTCATCCTCTACATTATCACAAGGTGCTGTTCCAATAAGGCTAGCACTTGGCAGGTGAGATGCAGCCTCCGTAGTACTTGAATTATCATTATTCCAAGCAGTACTAGATACAAAATCAGAAAAATCATCAAATGTCTCCTTAACCTCGCCAGGATCTGGCCAGTTTAATGTGGGCATGGTTGGCTCAACTTTGACTGGTTGCAATAATTGACTTTGAAGAACCATTCCTGCATTTGGATTAACAGTTTCTTCTGTTTTTATATCCATATTTTGGGCACTTTCAGCTGTACCTTTAAAATCTTGAAATTCCCAGTAATCATCATTATTTTCAAAGGTAGACTTTTTTTGGGTAGATATCTCTGGGTTAATGCTGTGGTTCTCTATTGATTGTGGTAATAATACAGGTGGTGTAACGTCGTAATGAATTGTTTTTGATCTTGGAGTTTCAGAGTCAGTAGGAGTAAATATATGTGTATCAGGCAAATTGATATGTCTAAGAGGTTGCACACTGAGTGTACTCGAATGGATCTTGTCTAATTTTGATACTGTAATGGAGCTTCCAAAGACATTCAGATCTGCCGGTCGAGACTCTTTTAAGGTCTTTTCTCTGTCTGAACTGTTAGCTGGAAAATAAAAAAAAATGATGAAATTCCTTGCTCCACCATTATTTATGTAAATCATTAGGTTTGCTCTGAATTTGTTAATAACAATGCAGCTTTTCTTAATTCTAAAACTTAATTATTTTTATTTTCTCTCTCAATCTCAGAGCACTACACACATATCACTGTGCTGTGAAGTAATTTACATGATAATAAAAACACCTAAAAAAATTACTTCAGTCGTAACTTACCAGTTGAAAGTAACTCTGATATTTTTAGAGTAGACTGTTTGTGAGCCATTTGATCTAAAGTGGTCATGAGGTGTTCTAAATCTAGGAGTAGAGCTTCGGCATAAGTGTCTATTGAATGGCATTTATGATGAAGCAATGGTGTTAAGTGTATATCCATGTGCAAGACATGCAAAAAAGTTCAAAGTGGAAATAAATGTTATTGTTAGTTAAATTTTGACTGTGTTTTAAAGTTATTTCAATAGTATCAATACACAACCTTTGAATCAACTTTAAATATCACAGTCCTAGCATTACTTAGCCACACAAATATGTTTCTTAAATGTAGGCAACTTACATCCTTGTCCAGTTGAAGTAAAAGGATCTGTCCATGTGATGTTTTCTTTACTTTTTTCAGCACTGAGGTCTGGTTGCTGTGGTGTAGTAGGAGATTTTTGGGGTTTTAGAGGTGCTCCACTTAAATTTGTTGCATATTTTGGCATCGAGGAATTCCACTTAGGGCCAAACAACTGAAAACACAAAAAAATATTGATAAGTTACATTTATTTCCAACCAAATAAGACATGAGCAACATGAAATTACTTACAATATTTCGTGAATCAATGCATAGGGCCTTTAAAAGAGTTTTTTGACCAAGAGAATTATTCCAATATACAATGTAAGGCTGTCTAACATCAATTTCTTTCAAATGATGCCATGTTTCACCTAGTGAAGACTCAAGATTTCCATCAAATGCTGTTTCAGAATCTGGTAAATCGTCAGGAAAGATATTAAATAAAATATTTTTTATACTTTCTATAACCTGGCCCTCATTGTCATTACTTTGAAAGTTTAAAACAGTGACATGTTGCGAAGCATGTTCTTCTACTATTTCTTTATTTACTGAAGACTTAAAATCATCAAAATCGCCAAAATCTTCATCTTCATTATTATCTAGTTCAGCTTGACTAATGATAATTTCATTATTTAGTTTCTCATTATGTAATTCTTCATCTATAGTTTCATTAGCATCAAAATTGGCTTTGAAATCCCCAAAGTTAAAATCCTTTGGATCCTTACTTTCCCAAGGATTACCAGCACTTTCAATAATGTTATAATTGCTGTTTGTAGTGAACTTAAAATCTTCAAAGTCATCAAAATCATCGGATGTTTGCAAATCTTGTTTATATTCTTCACATTCAGATGTTATGTTTTCTACAAGGACTTCATTACTCACAATATAACCCTCAGAATGTTCTAATAATTTGGTTGGTGATTCTTCCCCTTCTTTAGAAAATAGAGATAAATCATTTAATTCTGGTATCACACTTTCTACTTCATTTTCCTCATTACACTCTTCTGTTACTACATTAGAGTTTATACATAATGTACTTTTACCAGGGGATTCTATATGCGGTGTAAAACATGTTATTCCATATGTGTCTGAATTTTCATCTACATTACTATTATTACTTTCTACCTGATCTACAAGATCACTTTCTTGCTCTACCTTTAAGTTTAAGTCTTCAATAGCCACATCATCAATGGTTACTTTATCTATGGAATTTTGCTTACTTGGGCTGGGTTTAGAATGTTTAATTATTTCAATAATGCTATGATCAGTCTTTTCTTTACTGGTTTCATTTTGTGGTTCCGAGTCATCATTATTAGACATAGCATCATGGAAATTATTAAAATTTCCATAATTATATTCATCATTTTCATCTTCGTCCTCTGGTGACACTGAAATATGGATTTTATACATAATTATTACACACTGTCAGCAAAACAGTACTGACAAACTAAGTCCTGCATATATTCATTGAGAATAAGATATATCCAAAGACAAAAAGATTTAACAACCTAACAGTTATATATTAGCTTTAATCAAATAAATTATTTATTACACTGCAAAAATAGGTAGGTTGATGACATTTTTACTTACATCTATATTGTAAATCAAATTCATCAATGTGTTTATCCTCTTCACACTGGTCTGGCGGAGGAGGAGTACTGCACACTAACGGAGGTATCGACATTTTTAATGTGAATTTCACTATATCCAAGATTTTTTAGGTTTTAGTGACGTTTATGCCAGAGGTATATAAGTTTATTTTTACATTACCAAGGACCATATAGAAGTTGATAAATACTAATGATAATCTCTTTTAATTAAACACGAACTAGTGAAGTACATTAACTTTAATAATTTTTAATTTCTTAAGCAGCTGTTGACAATAAACAGTAAAAACTAAAATTGATTCTAATTTCACAGATCAAGTCGAGGTATAAATTGATTAGAATAGTTGGAAGTATTATTGTTTTTTTTATTTTAAGACCTGGTAACATAGACCTTTAAGTCATAACTTGTTTGGAAATTGTTCATTACTTTGGAGACACTACACTTCACTTCACTAAATTTCGAGTATTATTGGTAGGTAACGTTCAAACACATGTTAGTGCAGATTAAGACTCCCGAAGTCCCGAATATCATAATCCAATACGTTTTTGACATACGAGAAATACACTTAGCGCTTAAGTCTTGACTGTGAGTCTTAGCCTTAAATTTTAACTATTGCTAATATAATCTGTGATCAAGGGTTGTGAAGTGTCATACCAGGCCATAAACTCCAAAAAAAAAAGTGTCATCACTCATTTGTCATCTTTTTTTTACGATTTCATAGCTTTGGCCTATGGAACTTATAAATTTAATGTTTCTTGATTTATGTGTTTTTTTTCAATAAGTACATGACTTGACTAAAATCGGCAGTTATTTTATAGTATTTCTATTATATTCAAAGGTACCCCGGCTAGCAGGTAAACATTTTAATAATGATAATAATTACCTGTTATAATTATGATTTAAGAGTTACAGATTTTTATAAAATAAGACTTTCTTACTGATAACAATTAACGTGATTTTTAAATAGTTCTAAATAAAATATGTTCTTATTAATACTTAACAAGTTAACAGTTACTGTCAATAACCTATGACATGTGTCACTGCTTACGTGTCAGTATTCGTAGCCCGTAGGTTGTAGATGATCCGGGATTTCTAGACCGGAGGCTAATGCAGTTTTCAGGAAGATTTAACATTTTTTAAGTATGTATTGTGCGACAATCTGTACGTTTTCTTTTTGGTTTAATCATTTATTACTTTTTTACGTATTTACATAAAAAAGTTCTAATTAAACCGCTAAATATTATAGACTAATTTAATTGATTTTGTTAATTTTGTGTCTACTTTTTCCTCAGGGCTTTGGTGCAGCAGATCCAATGGAGCTGCAGGCATTACTTGTATTCGGTGGAGTGGGGGTAGTAGTCATAGCCATCGTTCTCCTCATGGGGCTCTTCTCTGCTTCTGGAACTAGCTATGAAGAAGCAATAGCCCAACAAAGAAAAGCTACAAGTGAATTGTTAGCTCTGGCTGATAATAAGACTAAGAATAAGAAAACGAGTAAAAAAGCTAATAAAAAGGTATGTACCCTTCCACCTCATACTGCATTTGAATTATCTTCTTAAATTATTATTTTCTGTGTGCTTTAAATAACCTCTTTATAGTCATGATGTTTTTTTAATAGACAATCATTTAAATGATTGAAAATATAATGTTCCTAATAATAAATTAATACCCATCTTGTACAGATAGCAAAAAAAGAAAAGAACAAGGAATATCCAACTGCTGTGACAGGCAGTGATCATGACAGTGAGGCCCCTGCTGAAAGTGGTTTAGAAGATGAACCCACAGCAAAACCTCATGTTGACTTTAAGCCACCATCAGTTGTTGTTGAATTCCCCAAAGACACCCCTCCTACTATTAAGGTATTAGCAATATTGAATTGAATATTACTAAAACTATGATTAAAAAAATGTTGAATAAGGGGTGTAAAAAGGAGGAAGGTAAAATAGAAATATTTAATGCATGATTTTATAAGATGCCTCATTATTTTTTTTGTAAACATAAGTATATATCTCCATTACATATACATTCATAAAATAAAATGTATTTTTAAACTTTGGAATCTGAAATATATGATATTATTTTGTAGTATCATTACCCGTGCTATATTATGCCTGGGTATTTAATCTTATCTACAAAGATGCATTAATTTTAGTGACCTATTAAGAAGTGGGTGAATGATATCTATATTTAAATATGATGAATGCAGATACATCCAGGAGAAATTAAACATAAAAAGTTTATATATATTTTTTTGCATATACGCTTTAAAAACATATTATACAACTAAGGAGTTGAAAACCTCTTGTACAGATTCGTAAACGTGGCAAGGATTCTAAAGTTAGGCCAATACTTGTAAATAAAGAGGATTCAAGTTGCGTTAGCGATCTGAGCTCAGCGGATACTTCAGCTCCTGTCACCAACCATTTTGAAGAAATGCAACCTAAGGATGAGTTCGAGTTATTACACTCTTCACAAGTGGGGGATAAAGTGAGTTTCTCACTCAAACCCTTTATTTTGGCTGTCAAAAACATTAATAAAATTATGTATGTTGTGAAATAATACAATTTTGGTACAGCACATACATACTTAGTGAATTATTTTGGTAACCACCACTGATACAATATAGTGTCAATGAATTCATTTGCTTCGAAAATCATGCCACCATCAGCTTAGATTATTTATTGTTAATGGACTGTATCAATCCTTAATATTGCATATTGTGCTTCTTCATTGTTAAGCATCTGTACAAACAAACAACTGTTTTACATTAAATTAAAATTTGTACTTTAAATGGTGACATCATTTTTTTAATATGACTAGATTGCCGACATCAAACAAGAATCTGTGGAAAAGAAGGAGAAGTCAAAACAAACAAAGATCATCACCAAGGCACCGATTAAATCTGCTGAAGTCGTGAAGGAGGCATCTCGTGAACTCAGTACTAGCAGTGAAGTACCAAAGGAACAACGAAAAGGTATGTCGCATTCTTCCACTACATACGGTAAAGTTTAAGGTATTTAGACTCTCTACTACTTATCAATGTCACTGTAGCTAAGAAGCCAGAGAAGAAAACGGTAGAAGAAGGACCGAGTGAGGAAGAAGCTGTGCCGCCACTGAACGCCCTGCAGCCCAGCGAGCTGACTACAGACAAATTGTTGAAGCAAGCTATGGTCTCCGCTCCCGCGCATTCCCCGCCATCCACAAAGAGCAAGAAGAAGAAAGCCGAGCCTAATGTGCTCTCACTTATTGGTCAGTGGAGTTGATCATGTCTCGTCTCTCAATTTTATTTCAAAGCAGTTTTTTTTAAACTTAAATCTAAAATATTGCGCAGACTGAGTTTTCTTCTTATGCTCTGGCACTTTCATTGTGGGTTTCGTTATTTTAGCGAGTGACAGCGGCGGAGTGTCGGTGAGCGAATTGGTTCGGGTCGTGAAGGAGGCCTCTCTTTCGCGCACAGAGATCCAGATTCTGACGGATGCGCTGCTCAACAAGCAACACGACCCCTTGCCCGAACACTCCGAATGGACTGAGGTGAGGTTTTTTCAATTAATATGATCCCGGATTGGAATCTGGCAAATCAAAAGTCTGTCGTTTCTAGGGTCCCAACGATCCCATGCAAAAGTTGAAGAAGCAATTGGCCGATAAAGAGAAGGCGCTCGCCGATGAGGTCGAAGCGTCTCAAGCGCTTCATGCCAAGTTGAAGGAGCTCAGGTGAATATAGTTTGTGATAATACAGACCAAACTCGATGTTATTCATTTACAAATTGCTTTTAAATTTTCAATGATAAGAATTAAATGAATAATCGCACTTTCTGTTATTCGTATCACGTTTTACATTACTATTTCGAAATAGACGATTTGTTGGAAAATGCTAATTTCAGCCAAATATTGTGGCAATCAATGTCCGGCACTTAACTAATCATCGTTCCAAGTAATGGCAATGCCTTTTTGAACTTGTCCCAAACAATGTGTGGTTGGAGGGCGTTAACCCCCTGAGAATGTCGTCCTGGCCTCTGAATTATTTACAAATCCTTATAACCACACTGATGATGCTGATCTTTTATCAAAGTTCACTGAATACACTGATTTAGTTGGTTTTATAAAGATCATTCAATGGACTTAATAAATACGTTATTAACCGACTTCATAAAAAAATAGAATAACGCCCTCCAGATTATCAATACTATTATTACTAGTTATACCGTGAATCGCCACTGGCGACATTCTAGTATTTTCCATTGTGCCATTAATTCAATTGTATACGAGTCTTGCATCTGTTGAAATGTAATTGTCAAACGCACGAACGGCGAACAGGGGCCTGCTGAACGCCGAGCGCGGTCGGGCGACGAGTGCCAGTCGGGCGGCGGAGCAGACGATGGCCGCTTCTCGGGCCGAGCTGCACACGCTGCAGACCAGGATCCAGCGGCTCTTGGACGACAACCATGCGCTTGCGCAGGAGAAACTGGTCGTATGTGTCTTTTCGTATACTTGTGTGTACTACTACACTCTATATTTGTGAATGTGAACCTCAAAGTCATGGCAAATTGAATCTAAATCGGGTAGCAAAAGTTTTATGTATTTTTTAAGTTTATTATAGTTTCTCTATCTCGAATTCGAAAATCGGGAGATTTTATTATAAGGGAAGAGAAAGCGTTGGTCGACTTTAAATATATTTACGAGTTCAACTTGATTTATAATAATTTCTAATGTTTAGGAGTTTTCTTAATAAACTCAAAAAGTATTTATGAAATCACATTAGACTCGATGACTCAAAAGTCGACGACGTCATCTTACCTCACTTGACCCGCTAAATTATGGTGGTTCTTATTGGAGGTTGTTGAATTTCAGCTTCAAGCACAGTTGGTCGAGGGGAACGAGGCGCAGGCGCAACGCGTCCAAATGGAGATGCACATTCAGAGATTGTCTGAGGTGAGTTTTTTTGAGATTTTATTTTAATTTATATATTACTTTTAATTGATTTGAAGATTATAAACGATTTTCAGATTATTCATTAATACCTTTTAATTTATAATTTCACCCAGCCGCCGACGATTGTCTAGGCAAGATTTTTTGTGTTATTTATTTTTCTGTGTTTAATGACACAAATACCTTTTATATTTAAATAGATAGTGTTAGGATTAGATAGGCGAAGACATATTATTGAGGGTGTGAAATTAAATTAATTACGTCTTCGCCTAATCGAGTGAAAATAAATATTTTTTATAAATTAAAGATTGATGACAGTTTATTTTTCATACGTTCACTTTGACCTCCCAAAGTAGGAGCGTCGAACTCTCGAAAGCAATCCGTGTAATATGCAATTTCGCAATACGCAGTCGGAGGCGGCTCTGCTGCAGCAGCTGTCGGTGCTGCAGGCGGAAGTCAGCGGTCGCGCGGTGGAGGCGGGCCAGGCCCGCTGCGAGGTGGCCGCCGCCAGGGACTCCGTGCTCATGGCGCAGCAGCACGCCGCCGACCTGGCGCATCAGCTGCAGGTATACTTTAGCTTTTTCATGATTTACTGAGATAAATATCAAAATTTATATTAATATGTTGTGTATGGGCAAAACGTGAGAACGAAACGAAGTCGTAAAGCATTATTATTAATATTTATTATTATGATGCAGATAAAAACTAGCAGCTTTAATAAGCATTCTTCGGTGTCGTCCGTTTTTTATGTAATTACGTTTAATCAGCGAAACATTATCTATCTCTTATTAGTAATAATAGCATTACCTTCTTTTATTCCTGAAACAAAAAGCAGAGACAAGCGATATTTGTCTAGAATAAATTCACCTGACCCGTCAATCCCGTTGGACGAGTCGAGGCTGTACATTTTATTCGCTCGGGCTTTCTTACTTTTATAAACGTAGCGATTTCCTAAATCGTCGAGTTACGCCCTTTGACTGTTGAATAGCATTCATTCGTTCATAGCAATTAACATTTCATTATTTCGTTTATATTCTATTGTTGTACGTGAGTGGTTAATATATAGTAAAATAAAAATCTTCTATTATTTAAAGCACCCGATGACCCAGGAGACGTACATTTTGGTCCTTCGAGCCGGACTATCTATAAATCGACAGTAAACTTATAATAATGAGTTATAAACATTGAATACTTGTAACTCATTACTTAAAATGAATTCACAGGAAGCGAACCGCCTATACTCGGAACTGGAGAATCAAAGGCAGTGCGCCGTCCACGCTGAGCAACTCGCCAGGGATGAGCTGCGACAGGTTCAGCAGAGACTCACCGGTTCGTTCTCTATCCCTCGGGCTCTCCCCGCGACGGACCGTCCTTATTCTTCAATTGGAATTATTTATTTTGACAGGTCTAACGGAACTACAGAGTGAAGTACAGAAGACGAGCGCTCGGGCGCAGACGGCCGAGAGCGCTCTGGACGAGTCGAAAGCGGCCTTCGAGAGTCAGAAGCAGCAGGTAGCCGACCACTCGTGCTTTCATTTGAAGAGGAAGACTTCTGGTGTTTCTTCATTACGATGGAAAATATTGTTGTTCTCATTTTCAGCTCAATCGAGAGCTGAATTCCCTCCGCGAGCAACTCGCTGCGCGTGAATCGGAATTGGCCGAGGCGAAGCTGATGAAAGCGGCGCCCGCGCACAACGGTCTGTCTCCCGCCGAAGATATCGAGAAACTGAAGGTACTCCGCCTTCCGGAGAGTTGTGTACTTAATTGAATAAATAAGATTGTGAAAGCGCATGTCGGTTCGGCAGGCGAACGAGCTGTCCAAAGTGGAGAGCGCGGTGGAAGCTCTGAAGGCGGAGTTGTCTTCGGCGCGAGCCGACAACGAGGAGCAGCAGACGCAGCTCACCGAGCTGAGGCAGCAGCTCGAGCGGCACCGGGAGAAAAACAACGTACGTACTTCTCGGCGGAACTAGAAATTAACCTTTCGTATTGGTCCCCGTCACTTCTAATGCACGAATTAAATAATAATTATTAATAATCGTAACTCCTATTATTATCACTATAGGTGTATGTATTCGGTTCTCTTTCTTCTGCTTTCTTCTTTAACCTCAAACTAATCGTTTGACTCCGATCACTCAGGAGTTGCGAACTAAAAACTGGAAAGTTATGGAAGCCTTACAGAATGCGGAGAGATCTCTTCAGGCTAAAGCGCAGGCCCGAGGGACCTCTGTAAGTGGAGAAAACCATTATTAATACCCCTGTAATGCCCTTTACCGCCCTTTACCGCCGCTTGAATACGTCTTATATTTTCTGGCACATTTGTGACTGACGCTAGACGCTTGACTTTCGATCGGATAAAAGAGAATTTATTTCAGAGCATTCAAAAATTGTCCGCAGGAAGCGTCCAAAGTGCAAGAGTACGAGGAACTGATGGAAGTCCTGCGGTCGGCGTGTCCCAGCGCGGCACCTTCCCGATCGACGGGCTCCGACTGGATCAGGGTGTTCGCGGACAACATCAAGAAGCACCTTCGCGACGTGGAGTCCATAAAGGTTTCGGCCGAAGACTCGCTCGCCGAGAAGCTTTCCGAGAAGGAAAACGAAAAGAAGAAACTCGAGAGTGAACTCTTAAAAAAACTTCAAGAAAAGGAGAACGAAAAGAGAGAACTGGAGAGCGAACTCCGGAAGAAGCTGCTCGATAAAGAAAACGAAAAGAAGAGACTGGAGAGCGAGTTGGAGACGAAAGCGAATAGATCGCCGGTCGACGATTCCAGAGTTGCGGATCTCGTCGAGCAGAACCGACAGTTACAAGCATCCGTGGACAAATACCAGAGGGTGATCCACGTCACGGTAATTTCTTTCATTTCATTGTTTATTCGTGAGGCAAATGTTCATTTTTGAAGTTATACTTCTTCTGGTGCGTTAGGGAAAATGATGAGCGCGCGCACACCGTCACAAAATACCGACACCATGAAGTTAGCTACAGTCAACATTGCAGTTTTTTTCTATTGTTAGTGTAGTTTTTTCTTCAAACGTAGAATGAAATGTTCAAAAATATTTTTACTTGTTACTTCTTACGCGTGTACATTTGAAAATGACAATGAATTGCAGGAGGGCGTCCTGAGCCAGCTGCAACGGAACGTGTCCGCGGAAGAGGCGCGATGGGCCTCGCAGCTCGCCGAGCAGCAGAAGGAGCTGGACGAGCTCCGGCAGAGGACCGTGCTCCAGGTGAGGCTCGTCAGGCGCATATCTCGCCGACCACTGTTAACTAATAAAGTTGTAATGATAAAAGTCCATTTTCACGTAGGAACCCGTGGCCTTTGCGTATTCCTGCATTGAGAAGTCCCTGTCCACCATCATCGCGGAGGTACAATGTGTGTTTCGGTGACGTGCGCTTTTTTGCGCTTTCTTGAAACTTCTCTGTCTCCTCGAAGTACTGAAAAACCTAAAACAGTTGCGCTGCGATCGAGTTTTGTCTATCTTTTGTCGTCGTCTCTCTATCTATTGAAGGTGTCGGGATCGTGTCGGACAGGAATGGGATATTGATAGTCCGTTCATTTTCATTCCCGTTTTTCAGATGCAGAATAAAATAGACGAGTTGGAGAAGGCGGTAGCTAAAAAGAACACCAGTTTTGCCGACGCCGAGAGGCTGACGGAGGTGAGAGAGGAGACGCGTGAGACTTTTCTTTTATTTGTCTCAGAATATTTACGAACGTAAAACTCAATATTTATTTTCAGGAAAAATTGTTGTCGAATTTCTCAATGGGTGACGTCCGCAACGGTCCTCCGCAGGTCGGTTTCCTTTTTAAAAAGTTGTAATAATTACTAAATGTGTGTTATCAAATAGACCAAACTATAATCGAATCCATCGAATTAGATATTTTTTATGATTATAATTAAAAGGCAGAATATGAGGTATGTACATATTCACTAGTTATTGAAGGTTCATATTATTCATCGACAGGCAACCCTGGCTGAGAAATAACGAATATGTTCAATAGGATCGAGCTGTTCGGGAAGATCCAGCGAATGCAGATAACGATATTCGGTAACTTCGCTGACGCTGCGACTTCTTTTTCATTAACTCTGATCGGAGCGAGCTCTCGACGTCCCTCTGATAAAACGGAAAGATTCGGTTCGGCTCCAAAGTTTGACATTCGTGTGTAACCGTATGTGCGGTGGTAATGTTTTGTATTATATTTAATGTGTACATAAAATCCGTTTATTTCTAAGGAAAACTAATTTGCAATAAAATTCTCGAGGGTTCTAAGAGATGAAACGAAAATGAATAAAATGCGACGCGTCCGAGATAGGTTTACTATTTTAAGTAGATAAAGTTTTTTTAGTGCAAATTAATACAAAAGACATTTTTTCCAGTTCGATGTATGTTTTTCCCGTACGGGAGCAAACGATTTCAAAATATTGTCCGTTTTACGACGAATTATTTTACGATCGAATTTATGTTTCCTTTTACTCCATATTTGATGGATGGAAAACTGTGATTATTATTAAATTTATATTGTGTTTTAACAGACTCAATTCGATTTAAAAATTCCTAGTGATTAATGAGTGAACGGTTTGTCGACGCCATAGACTGGTTATTTAAAACAAAACTTGCTTTTTAACGCAAAACGCAATTGGCGTGGTGTAAAGACTCGATTTATCATTCGTAAAATAGGGTTAGACGTTTTAAATAGAACTTTTACTATGTTCGATTAAATCCTTAATAATAATATATTAGTATGCTTTTGTGTTTACGAAGCTACCTTACTAATTTATTTCGTGCTCTCGTTTCCTGCAATAATAATGATATAATAACAAATTTACATAAAAGAAATTACAATTTATTACATCGTTTGGACAATTTTAGGAAGTGTTATTTTATTTATAAAGATTTATTTATTAGCTTTTGTACTAGAACATAATAATCATTTTTCAGTGCCTTAGAATAAGATTTGACTTTGATATGCCGACTGTTTATTTTCCACAAATAAGATATTCGATCGATTATGCATGTTAACCATAAGTTTTAGGGTGATTTTTTGTTTCATTGATTTGTACTGATAAAATTATTATTTTCGGAAAATATCTAGAATAATTTGATTATTTAAATCCAATTTTTCATTGACATTTGTACTGTTTGTTATATTCTGCGTGTCAAATGTCCAAAATATTGATATACTTAATAGACATACTGTGTTATTGATAAGAAGCGTTATTATAAAACTCGTAATTTTAGATGAAAATATAATCAAATAAAATATTTCTACAAGTATTTTTTTTATTTATGTTACCACCATATTATCTCTCTCTCATGACAGCATAAACAGTATTTGACACAAAGAGATAAAAAGGAGAAACCACTACCGGGTTTTGCATGGATGATGGACGTCTGTCGTAAGGCCCTTATAGGCAGCGGCACGTAAGCCTAGCGCTGGCCGATACGTGGAGGGGATTGCTGCGCATGTGTACTATCGCGCACGCAATACATTGTTTTATCAGGCTCAAATTTACAATGTTGCTGTCAGAATGACTGAACAAAGTATTTGTAGCTTCGTCAATCTCACTTTGGATTTGTTTCAAAGAATCAATTAATTCGTTAGATTCCCTTTTTAAAAAAAAATTGTGCGTGTACTAGGTGTACACACGTAAGAAGTGAAACTTCTTTATGATCTTATTTTTCGAAAAATGATCTACTATATGCAACTTTACAGAAATTCGTTAAATTAGATAAAGTTTAAAATAGGGTTTTATCATTATTTTAGACATGAATACAAATATTTCATTTTACCTTATTACTACGAAGATTATTATAGAATTTCATTAATTGTAATGGAATTATTACTATCATTGAAAAACGTGACGATTTGCTACAAAATTTCTCCCATACGTCGATAAAGAAGTTTCATTCCAACGCCGATAAAGAAGTTTGACTTCAAAAAGCAACATGGCGCGTAACCGAAAAATGTGACGCGTAACGAAAAAATGTTACACTAAATTTTTTTCCAACCTCGATAAAGAAGTTTCACTTCAACAATTCACGTCATAAACCATTTTCCTGGCTTGTCTTTTCAAAACAGTATTTGTTCTAGGCATATTCACTTTAAAGTCACAAACAAACTTAAAAACAAATAACAAACAAATTCAAACGAATTAAGTGAGGGCCAGCGGTGGATTCCAAAAAAAAAACAAAACATATTAAAATTACTTTTACAAATAATGAACTTAACTAAATACAATTATTTAATCGGCCCGATATTAAGTGCACGAAAAATATATTATATTATAAACTTAACTAGCTGAGACTTGACCGGTCCGATATGAGGTCTCCGATCATAAAGCTGTTGGTTCTGTTGTCCGTTTCCTTATATAGCGTAGTTTCGTAAGCGGGGTACTTGTATTGGGTATGCGGGGCAAAGGGAGTGCAATGAATATGTAACAAACGTAACAACAGTAACAATAATATTAATGACGCGACTGTACACGGGATGTGCGCGGGGCGTCGTATCGGTGCGGGGGACGGAATGCGACTGGAGAGCCAATCGGCATACAAATAATGCAATGCTTTCCTTCTTTCATATCTTGCTTAAAATTGTGAAATCATCAAGAACAACGATTTTTTCCCTCGTCGATATCCATTAGGTCATCTATGCCTTGCAAGAGCGCGGTCAAGCGGTATCGGCATGCTATCCAATTTGAAAATACTTTTTTTAATTAACTCCATTTTATGTAACTCTGAGGCATCAACTGGACCCATAATGGTTATGGGCCCAGTGGGATGTTTTAACTGTGCAATAGGAAAGTCGTAGATTTGATTAATTCAGGAGGAAACAAATAATGTATAACAACATAAACCTTATTTTGTACAGGAGATTTTTTCAAGAGTTTAGCAGAAGTAACAGCATCAAAAAATAATTACAATTAAATAATCAAAGACTGGAAAAGGAGTCATTATAGTCAATAAAGTTCAGTTTACATTTTAAAAATTAAATAAATAAATTTTTATTCTTATTCTCTTACATTAAGTGTAACACAACATAATAGAATTATTCGAATGTTGTTTTTAAATTATGTCCAATGTCGTAGCATCTTCTGTGGGCAACTTCATTCTGTTGATTTTGTGTCACGGTGCGCGCGCATCGTTAAATTTCACTCTCATAAATTTTTCATAACGCGCCTAAAGAAGTATAACTTCAAAATAAATAACAACCGTTAATTACTTAGATTAGAAACATGTACGAATTTATTTGAAAGAGTTTATATACAACTTATTTTTACTTTAATATTTAGAAATCAACGAATCTACTCTTGAAATTATAAAAGTTAAAAGTGCGAATGAGAAAAAAATTTAAATTAGAATATAGATGTTAACGTAAAATTGTAAATACCGTTAGATTGTAATCTATCTCGCGAGATTATAAACTGTCGAAAGATTGTGAACCTCAGCGTACTGCTTACAATTTAACGTATTATTATTCGGTAGATTGTAATCTATCGAAGTGAAACCGTCAAATTGTGAAACGGCCATTTTCTACTTTTCTATTGGTTATAAGAGATGTGACATTCTCGTTTTCTATTGGTTATACCTAAGTGATGTGACATTCTCGGTAAATTAATCGAATCGATTATTTCCTCATTTGTTAATTTTAAAGTTAAACCTAATTTAACCATTACTTGTCAAATGTACATACATTACATTAACTTCATGTTTCAACTAATTGAAAAATTACCCAAAATCGAATCAGAGCACCCCACTGTCCACGTGGTCTTGTCTGCCCTACCCCTAGAGTGTATATAAAAAATCGGAGGCGCGGAGGAAGAGCCGACCAAAAAGCCGAAGCTGCGGAGGCTTGAATAAAATGCCTGTGTACGCAAGGGTTGGAGGGGCTGCATTTCCCGTAGCGTCGGAGCTGTCCAAAAAATGTATTATTATTCAGTTAGGTTAGGTTAGTATATTAATATTTTTTTTAAATAACTGAAACTCGAAATCGATTGATTTTCACTTTTATTATTTATTATTTTTGAATAATTTCAAAATTTTCGGAACCCTACACTAATTGAAACATGAAGTTGTTGTAATGTATGTACATTTGACAAGTTAATGGTTAAATTAGGTTTAACTTTAAAATTAACAAATGAGGAAATAATCGATTCGATTAGGTTCAAGTTTAAAATTAACAAATGAGGAAATAATCGATTCGATTAATTTACCGAGAATGTCACATCACTTATAACCAATAGAAAACGAGAATGTCACATCACTTATAACCAATAGAAAACGAGAATGTCATATCTCTTATAACCAATAGAAAAGTAGAAATTGGCCGTTTCACAATTTGACGGTTTCACTTTGATAGATTACAATCTACCGAATAATAATACATTAAATTGTAAGCAGTTCGTTGAGGTTCACAATCTTTCGAAAGTTTACAATCTCGTGAGATAGATTACAATCTAACGGTGTTTACAATTTTACGGTGACATACTCAGTCTTAGTTTGAAGATTTTTTTTTAATGGCTCTGGCACGGTTTGTGGATTAGCCAGCGCCAAGTATAAGATTTTTGAAGTTATACTACTTTAGGCGCGTTATGAAAAATTGATGAGAGTGAAATTTTACGATGCGCGCGCACCTGAGACACAAAGTTGTCAGTGTGATTATAGCGTGCGCGAGCGAGATGGGAATAAGACAATCTACAAGTAAAAAGAAATGGAATATGCGTGAAGTTAGCAGCTATGCCAAGAATTTTGAATGAACATAATGACATTTACCTTTTAAACAAATAAAGGAGTTTTAATTATTTTTTCAAAGAAATTTAGCAATGCTTTTTCACAAAGACCTATTGTTACTTAGTTAAAAGGTTATGAAACATACGTAGTTATTAAATTGAATGAATAATATAATAAAATAATAATTAATAATTGAATAATATACTAAATATCAAATATTATTAAATTATTAACGTTAAATATTTGTTATTAATTATTTGATATTTTAAAAAATAAAAAAAGCAAAGAAGTATAACTTACGCGCGTACATAAGTACACGCACCCTTTTTTTTATAATTCGTGCTTGCCTTTAGAAATTCGACCGTGTCCTCCATGTACGGTTTTAAGCACTCACCCGGTACCGCACAACCCTCCCAAAGGCCGAGAACAAATTTAAATTAAATTAAAACTTGCCCTCGAACCGGGAATCGAACCCGGTACCCCTCACCTAGCTGCCACTTAATAAGACCGCTAGGCTATGAGGCCCCTATTTGAAGATTTATAGTTTGTAATCTGGTGACAGTTAACAAAATGTCATATCGTTTAAAATGTATTGTTTATGTACTCGTATGTACCTCAAAATTCAAGCATGACGTCTTTTAACAAACAAGTCATTTAATGTAATTATTTTCTTTCGTTTTGTTACTAATTACTATATTTATACTTATTTAAAAAGTATTTTTAATAAATTTGAGGTCGAAACTCCTGTGTTGTGTCTTTGAGCAGAGAAAAAATATCGTAATAATTATAAAGTTAAAGATTAACCACTCAGTAGTACCAATAAGCAAAAAAATAATTTTAAGCTTTTGATATGGCTACTGAATCAACATTAAAGAACGTCGACAGTGCATGTGAAACGGCAGAAGAATTTACGAGGTTATTTTACAAACACCTTGATAATAGCAGACACCTCACCTCAAAGCTTTATCTTGATGCTAGTTTATTAGTTTGGAATGGTAATGGAATAAATGGCAATGCTAAGATACAAAAGTTTTTACTTGATTTACCACCCAGTAACCATTATGTGAAGACCATTGATGCTCAACCTATTTCGGAAAACTTAATGTCTAATAATCTATCATACCTTATCCAAGCTTGTGGTGATGTTACATATCAAAATGAAGAAGTAAGGAAACCCTTTCAACAAACATTTGTTATTGTTGCAGTAGAGGGGAAGTGGAAAATTGCTACAGATTGTTATAGATTGCAAGTCCCTTACAGTACTTAGTGAGTCATGTAATAAATAAAAAAGAGAACAAAAAAAATGTGTTATTTATTTGTTTGAAAGTATAGAAGTAGTAAGTTATATATCATTTACAACTTATGTATTTAAAGTATTAGTCAGCTTTATATAACTATTACAATTAAACCATTTTAGATGATCCAAAGTAGTAGTTACACTTAGAACAGTAGTGTTCTGGCTTTTTGAATGTACGTAAAATATAAGGCAAGGCAGCAAAACAACATAAAAAGCACCACCTGTAAAATATAAGTCTTTTAGCAAATCCTTAACTAGACAATTAGGCAAAATTATATTTAAGTAAATATCTAAAATAATACTTACACTGTTAATCCACAAATAAAGCCTGCTATCATGTGTGTTTTTTGTGAGTTTGCATAATCCACTTTAGTCATGCACCTTTTATGACAGCTAGGGCAATCTATGAGGATTGGTACATCCTTTAAAGTATGTTGTACTATAATAGTCTGATGTATAATAGGTTGATTAGTAATAACAGTTGGCACATGCAATGTATCTACTGGGGTGTAAGGTGGTGGGGCATCTATAGATTCACTACGAGTTTGTTGTACTATTTCACTGTTAAAGGTTCCTCCTAAACCATTTTGGTTATTCATTGCTCTTAAATATACTTCTAAATTATTGATAACTTGTAACAATGCCTGTTTATAATGGGTTATCAGATATACATGAATCCTTATCTTATCATCTTTGATATACAAATACCAGATAATATTGACAAGCTATATAATATAATTCTGATAAATTAGATAATAAAAAGACTACATTTCCTTTAAATCTTTATTGCTAAAATAAGATATGAAATTGATATGGAATACTGACTGATATAGAAATTTTCAGATTTAAAAAAAATATTGGTTAATAATTTATGACATATTTAAAAACTATGAGAATGAAGAAATTAAGGGTATGTTCCGATATACACTGCGACCACTGTACAGAGTACCGTCAATTTAGTATACTGTGAAACCGTTTCTCTATAGCCAGCTATACTGGTTACAATTTAAAACGGAACGCAGTCCAGTATACTAGTCAGCTTCGTTTTTCGACACAATTTTCAAATGAGTGCATCAAAGTTTTTCAATTCTACAAGAAAAACTTTTATTGGAGTATTATCGCATTAAAAAAATATATATTAATATTAACTGTCAATTGAATTAATACTACAAAGAAAGTAAGTTAGAATTTTAAATGTTTGTTATTAAACTGTAAGTTATATCAGCCGTTAGGCATTCAAGTGGTTTTGATTGATCACGTGATCAAAGCACTGCGAGTACCTTACCTCGAAAACGCCAGTGCTCGCAGTAGAAGTATACCGGGGATTTGTGACGTCATATATTTCCCTAGGACGCTGCGGCTGTATACTGGCGTCCATAGCGGAACGAATTTTTGAACAGTGGGAGCATTATACAGTACTCGCAGTGTATATCGGAACATACCCTAAATAAATTATTGAAAATGTTTGACAGCTGTTATTGTAAAGAGATGATATTATAGAATGAAGATTCCTAATATATAATTCTTATGTTTTTCTCACAATATATAAACTAAACACTTCAACTTTGTCAATGTATCCTCCAGAATCCAGATCAAGTTAATAAAAATGTGTTAAAAGAAAAAATTCTGACATTAAGATTTTCAAGTCAATTGTAACTTAAAATAAGTTGTAAATATTGATTTTGTATAAATGTAAAAATATGAAGTTAGCTATTATATTCAAATTTAAAAACACATATTTATCAGACCTCATCATAAGCCTCAAATAGCTATTAGCTATTCATAATCAAATAATATATGAATATTAAGGCTTTTTAAATTATCTATTATTTATAAATATTTGTACAAGCATGGTTGGTTTAAATCAATATTTTATCACAGATTACTTATTAATAATAGTTATATACTTAGTAATAAATGTATTTAATTTTAATTTGAAAAAATCTAGAGGAATGCATAAATATAATATTTGAAATTTAAATAGCTACAGAATGTTTTTAGTAATGATATACATCTATTTCCAAAATATTTTGATCACTATGGAATAATAATAAAAAATATGGGTCCATTATATAATGCCAGTTCTACAACATCACAAGACCAATTGAAGAATGATTGTGTACATAGTATAGTGATCCAATATCTTGCTTACTCTTAATTGTTTAAGCATCTCCCAACAACAGGCCTTAGAATCATGGACATTACAGGTTTAATATTTACATGGCACAAAATTTTTCTCTTGGCTATTGTTTACTTAATATTGTAATTTGTGTCAATCCATACATTTAATATGAAATGAGGAATTTGTTATTAACACTTATTGCTTTTTCCAATAAAGGTACTGCAGTTTGGGCAGTAATGCTCTGCATCCTTGAATGTGTCAAAGCAATATGGGACCAGCCCGAGACAGCATAAAGAACAGGCCCTGTAACAAACAGCAGCATTTTAATAAACTAACATTAAAGTTGTCTTGTACATAAATGTTCTTCAATTTCTCAGTGTCAGAAGCTCTTATCTAAATTAATATTTACTTACAATACTTTAATACAAATGCAAAAGCTAAAATAAATAAAGAAAACCCTTACATAGTGATGATGCATAATGAACCAGCAACCAAGTGTGTATGCCAAGCAGTGGTATAGGTCACTCGAGTGGTAACTACTTTTCCACAATTATAACAAGTAACTGTTGTTGGTTCAGACCCTACAGCAGCTGGTAAGAGAACTCCGACAGGAACTGTCACATTTGAAGAGGTAGGCATATCTCTCGCAAGAGGCTGAGAAATGTTGACAGTATTAGGGGAAGGATGGGGATATACGCCAGGAGGAGTGAAATATTTAGGAGGTTCAGAGCCGGTGGTAGTGTAACTATTCCCCGTAGGTGCCACAAAGCCATACGGTGGATTACCTACAACGGCTGAATATGGAGGGGGCAAATCATTTGGGGCTGATGGAATACTGTTTAAACTTGGGTCATTGGTGGCCATGATGATGTTTATACGTTACGTAAATAAAGCTTATTTATTTGATACTCATCAGCACGCGACAAATGTTTAAATTTAACAATTGAAAATTAAATAAATGAAAGCTGTGTACAAAGATTCGCATTTAAATAAACACTATGCACAACATATTTTGTAATGAATGCTCTTCCTAAAAAAGTAAATAATAATCACAATTCACACTTCACAGTGCAAGTACTAAGTAGAGGTAAATTGGAAAACTTTCAGACTTCTTTTTTTTTTTTTCCTTTATGGCTCTGGCACGGTCTGTGCATTAACCAGCGTCAAGTAGGTATAGGATTTTTATAAGTCGCTGTTTTAATTATGTATTTACAGTTTATGAATAATAAAAAACGAAGGAAACTAATCGCGACATAACATAGATGATTGAAAACGCATTAAATTTACAACAAAATCAGAATAGTTACATAAGGGGAAAAATAAATCAAAATTATAGTTTAATGTTATTATTTACAATAAATATACTTATAATACTATATACAAGGGGATTTAAATCTCGAAGAAGTAAAGAAATATTGGTAGGAAGGGGAACAGAGAGAGATACTAAAGAAGTGTATAAGGAAGCATGGTCATATTTAGGACAAGAAAAGAAAACATGATTCAGGTCAGAATAGCTCTCGCCACACTCACAGGCGGTACTAGTTACGATACCAAGTTTGTGCAAATGAACTGGAAGGCTGTTACGTCCCAGACGCATACGGATTATAGTAGAAGTGGTGGTTTTACCAAGCGACAATTTGGCAAACCATGGCTTCCTGGGAACGGAAGACTGTATAGCATACAAGAAACGACCCTTAATCCGGCCTTTCTCTTCCCAACACATATTCCACGATTTGTGGAGATATATGCCGGGCAAAGCAGCAAGATCATGGCCAAAATTCCTGTACGGGTGTACGTCACCGGTCTCAGTAGCACTGTTAGCCAAACTGTCAGCTTTTACATTTCCAGAGATACCACAGTGACTAGGTATCCAACAGAATGAAACTAAATAGTTGTGTAATTGGCAGTGCAACAGCTTTCTCTTACATTTAAATATAACATGAAAAAATGGGTTAAGTTTTAGTGAAAATTTTGCTAAGCTCTGTAAAGCACTTAAGGAATCGGTAAATATAACGGTTTTTTTGAGTTTGAAACATAACACATATTCAAGAGCTTTTAGTAGTCCAAAACATTCACCGGTAAAGACCGATGATTCCGGAGGTAATTTAATTTTCTGAACTATGTTGTATTGTTTGTGAAACACTCCAACACCAACACACCCATTGGAGTGTTTAGATGAATCTGTATACATTTGATGCCAGTTAGGCCATTTGCTATTGACATTGCAATTAAAAATTGCATTGGCATTAAAATCAGATTTTTCAATGCCAAGAGAAAAGCAAATCTCTGGAGAAAGGAGAAGAGAATCATAAGAAGAGCTAAATAGGGGAAGTACATTAAAGGAATGAGTTGGGGCTTGTAATTGTTTGAATTTCAGGAAGCTTTTTAATAGACAAGGTAAAGGTTTATGTGAAGAGGGTAATTTTATAGAAAGAGACTCCAGTTTGGAGATGAGGGGATGATGGAACTGGACAATTCTAAAAATGAATATATCTGACAGATATTGACGTCTTAAGTTTAATGGAGGGTCACAACATTCTATTTGCAGAGCATTAACCGGGCTTGATTTCATGGCACCAGAAACAATCCTCAAAGCCCTAGACTGTATGAGGTCTAGTTTTCTAAAGCCAGCTACATTACCTGGATCTAAGAAAAAGGTCCCAAAATCCAGTACACTTCTAATTACAGCATTATACACCAACCTCAGTGTGGCCGGGTGAGCACCCCACCAAACTCCACTGAGACATCTCAGCATGTTCAAGTGTCGCTCACATTTACCAACTACAAATTCGCAGTGTGGTTGACCTGTTAGTTTAGAATCAAGTATAACTCCTAAGAACTTTACTTGATTATAAACGGGTAATATATGACGATCATATGTTATAGTAGGTGAGGGAGGAGTTCGGGATTTAGTGAAAAGTACAACGGAACTTTTTGAGGGAGACAGATCTAGGCCATTTGCATCCATCCAGGATTTTAGCAAAGATAAAGAGGAGGAGACATGTTGTTCAGCAATACTTACCCACATATCAGAGGCATAAATAACTAAGTCATCGGCATATTGTAATAAACTAACTGAATCTCCGATGAATCTTCTAGGTCATATGTATAAATATTGTACAATAAAGGGCTCAGAACAGACCCTTGTGGCAAGCCCCTCCATACCAGCCTACTAGGCATATAAGGGCCGCCAACATCTAAAATAATTTTCCTCTCCGAAAGAAGATTTACAATGAAATCAGTTAAAAAATAAGGAACCTTTAATTTATTTAATTTACTTTTTAGAATATGTAACAAAACGTTATCATAAGCCGAATTAATATCCAAGAAAGCAGCGACTACTGACTTTTTATCTGTGAAAGCATTACGAATGTCCGTAACTAATATGCCTAAATTGTCACTGAAATAAGACAAAACCTTTGAAGAATATAAGGTTTTAATAAGCTAAATTAACAGTAAAATATTTTGGTTACATTTGATACATTGACAAAAGTTAGTGTCTAAACAGATTGACAATGTCATCATTTTATAATAGTATCATCTAAGAAGTTTAAATCAAAGAGGTTTACATCATTCTCCCGCACTATTTTAAAATGTAATCTTTTAATAATTCTGGTCTTTTACGGACGCAGCCAGATCTACGAAGTGTTGGCTCCGGCGGTGATGATGATGGTAACTCGGTGCCAGATCTACGAAGTGTTGGCTCCGGCGGTGATGATGATGGTATCTCGATGTCAGATCTACGAAGTGTTGGCTCCGGCGTTGGTGATGATGGTAGATCAGTCTCTAGCTCTCTGCTATTATCAAGTACCACAGGTCCCATCTCATTAGATAAAGGAATTTCCAAGTTTTGGTCTTCTGTTTCCGTACGTGGTTCTGTGGCGTTATGATAGTCATTATTTATTCGCAGATCTACCCCTTCTGAACCCAATGGTGCTAAATGACGATTTGACACCGTTGTTTCTCGGCCATCTGGGAACCGAATGTATGAATAGTCAGGATTGCTGTGTATCAATTCAACCTCTTCTACTAATGGCTGATATTTATTTGTACGATTAAATTTCTTCATCAAGACTTGTCCAGAATTTGTAAGCCACGATGGAACAGAAGTGCAGTTAGTAGATCATCTTGGGTGTCTAAACATTCTTTCATGTGGAGTGCAATTTATGGCTGTACAAAGTAAAGATCGAATCGAATGTAAGGCTTGTGGTAATACCTGCTCCCAATTTTCTACTGAAAGATTCTTCGTCTTCAGCGCCAAAAGAATCGTTCTCCAAAGAGTAGAATTCAATTTTTCTATTTGCCCGTTACCTTGAGGGTTATAAGCTGTAGTTCTACTTGTGGCAATACCTCTAACATGTAAAAAATCCTGTACTTCGGCAGAGAGAAATGCTGTTCCGCGATCTGAATGAACGTAAGAAGGCATGCCGAATATCATAAATAAGTTGTTGAGGTGTTTAATTACTGTTTTCGAGCTTACATCTGAGCATGGGAAAGCAAACGGGAAACGTGAAAATTCGTCAATCACGGTAAGTATGAATTTATTATTATTGTTTGTTGGAACTGGTCCTTTAAAATCTAAGCTAAGGCGTTCAAAAGCAGCCGTCGCTTTAACAAGTTTCCTCTGGTCATCAAAAGTATTTCGGAAGAATCTAGGTTTTACTTCAGAGCAGGTTTGACAAGATTTTGTCATTGTTCTGACTTCTTCAATGGAATAGGGAAGGTTTTTAGAGCGAACCCAGTGAAACATTCTCGTTACCCCTGGATGACAAAGAGCCTCATGCAGCGAGAAAAGTTTTGCAGTACGTGTTTCTACAGTGGCACAAACTCGGGATAGTGCATCAGCAGCATAGTTCTCTTTCCCCGGTCTGTATATAATATCAAATTTGAAAACAGCAAGTTCCAGTCGCCATCTTTGAATCTTTTCATTCTTTATCTTACTTGAATGTTTCATATTAAACATAAAAGAAACCGAGCGTTGGTCAGTTACCAACTTAAAGTGTCTACCGATAAGGAAATGTCTCCATTTCTTCAATGATTCAACAATGGCGTACGCTTCTTTTTCAATGGCGGAATGGTTTTGTTCGCTTGAATTCAAAGTTCTTGAGAAAAACGCCACTGGTCTAGAATTTTGCGTAAGTACTGCTGCAATGGAATGATCGGAAGCGTCAGTTTCGACTGTAAAAGGTATATTTTCATCAATTGCATGTCTAGAAGACTTTGCGATATCATTTTTCAGGCCTTGGAAACATTTAATTTGCTCGCTTGTGAGCGGAAAAGTAGTCGTATTAGCAAATGAGTGGATCCGTTCAGAAAAGTTTGGAATCCACTTAGAATAATGTGCGAACATGCCGAGTGTCCTTCTTAAGGTCGGTAAATCGCTTGGTGCAGGTAAATTAATCAGTGGCTTGAGTCGCTCACTGTCAGGTTTAATTATGTGGTTTTGAATATTATAGCCTAGAATATTAATTGACTCTTGAGAAAATTTGCATTTTAGCATACTCAGTGTTAAACCGTATTTCTTTGCGGCATTCATAAAACTTTCTAAGTTATGATCGTGTTCTTGAAGAGTACGGCCACAAATAGTTATATCATCAAGATACGCATATGTGTTTTGAAGCTTTTCTTTCCTTATAATCCAATCGATTGTTCGTTGGAAACTCGAAACACCATTTGTTACTCCAAAAGGGATACGCCTGAACTGGTACAAATTTCCGAGCGCTTCAAAAGCGGTAAATTTTCTTTCTTCGGGTAGTATAGGTACTTGATGGTACGCGCTTTTCAAGTCTATTAGGCTGAAAAATAAATTCTTTGCCACTTTCGAAACTAAGTCCTCAATGTTTGGTAAAAGGTACGCGTCGAGT